CGGTTTAGAAAAGGTTTACATTTTTTACTCAGGTCCTCATTTTCCATATTGGGCTTATAGTGCTCGTAATATGGAATACTATATTTATATTTGAAAAAATAATCGAGCTAACACAAAGTTGATGTACTCACCTTATTATGTATAATATTAGATCAAAGATCACCTTGCAAAAACTCAGACTGCGATATTATCTTCAATATTATTTTGCAAACACGTGTTGCTTTGGAATTCGGGCATATGCACGGTAGTTGCAACAAATTACAATCGTAATCGATTACATTCATCACCAATATCAATATTGCGATAATTGCTTTAATATTGCAATGTTCCAAATTAGGGACGTATTCCACATTAGGACAACCGAGCCTACCGTATCGTTTGAGATTAAAAGTCGCGCATGACGGTTTAACGAACGATTTGTAATTTTAGGAACAGGATGGTCAATAATATACACCAATTAACGTAACGAAATTTCCACTGATACCTTTATTAATATTATTTATAGATCTCTATTATTTCTTCACACGCGTGCACGCTTTACTCGATCTTTTCATATTCTCCCGCCCATCATTTGTTTTTGTGCTCAGCTATTGTCAAATACTATTTGTTACAGATTCAAATCTGAAAAATTTTAATTGTTTATTCGTGAATAATATTTGGGCAACTGGGATCGGTTCGTTGGAAGGCCAGCGACGAGGTAATCGGTCGAGTGACCAAGATCCCCGATTGCCCCTTTCTGAGTCGCGCGGCGGCAGCGCTACTCGCATAAGGATAGACGGACGGATGGCTATTTCCGCATGACATCACACCACCCGCATTTAGGAGCGGCACGATTTTCTATTTTCTTGTCGGTCTACATTGGTGGCCCTCGAAGACCTGCAAGGTCAGCCCCACCGAGATGCGCCCGATCAGTTTTTGCCCCTCTTGTTTTATTCCTCTTCGTCCTGGCCGGTCTCGCCGTGTCTTCGTCGCCGCCGACTGTTGGCCTCTTTCCGGCAGGGGACTAGCAAAAACGTCTTATTAAACCGGGTGCGTCGTCCCGCGAAATTTCCGCGATTAAGCGAACCGCGAGGCACACGCGTCGTTCCTTTTCGCTGTTCACCTGCGATACAGCCAATCTGGTCCGGTCGTTCCCTCCCCGCTGACCACCAATCACTCCTAATCGAGAAATAATTGTACGAATTTGTCCGAGGACTGGCAGAACGGGACGGAAAAGAAATCCTCGCGTTCTCGTTTAGCCGCTACCTCCCGGAGGCTGTTTTTTACCAATTCATACTCTCAGGTGGAACAATGGATTCGGCGAGACAAAGGAGCGGCTGCTCTTGCTCGGCGTAGGGTACCGTTTCTCGCGCTAACTCTGTTAGCCGTTCGTTAGCGGAATTAGAAATGAAGGTTCGCGTGAAAAGAAAATTCGCGAACGCCTTCGCAGTGGCTCGAGCCACGGATCCATTAGAGTCGCCCGGCAAACTGCTACGTTCTTCCAGTTTAAACGAGTCCGATTCTAAGAGGAATGATTAACACCGGTACAAGCGATGAATTTAATTAAACGATCCCACTCTATTTTTCGATCCCCTTCGCTAATATATTACGTTGCCGCATACGAAACGTCGTTTTTCCGATCTCTGACTTTGCCAGAACTATAACATACATTTTGATCTGCTCTCTCGTCAATCGTTTTTAGTGGTAAGTATTTTTTTGAGAACCCAATCCAGACTTATAACATTCATTTTAATCTGCTCTCTCGTCAATTGTTTTTGATAATAGTAAAGAAGTATAAGCATTTTTATGTGGATACAAACTCGGAAAAATGGCGATAGAAACTGTTGAAAACATAAAGATAAAATTCAAGGGCTAATGAATTTTCATTAGAAACCCCAAACCAGACCTTTAACATCCATTTTAATCTGCTCTCTGGTCAATCGTTTTTAATAATACTAAAGAGGCATAATCATTTTCATATGTATACAAACTTGGAAAAACGTCGGTGAAAGTTGTTGAAAACATAAAATTAAAATTCAGGGGTTGATGATTTTTCACTAGACAATTAATCCATTGAAAGTGTTTGGTGTTTTAAGAAATAGAATAGAATTTGTCAAGATAATCCACAACAAACAAAAGAGGAATAGGATCCCGATTGAATGTATGTAAACCATTCGAATTCCGACTGGAATAAAATCGACAACATGGAATATGTTAAGCCATAGAGTTACATCGACGTTCAGACAAAAGAAAAAGTCGAGTTCAAGAAAACCATCAATGACAACGAGTTTGGCAGAGTTTGTAACGTGTCTGATCGGCTGTGGACTACGAGCAATTCGCCATCTATTAACGCGCCATAGAAGACAGTTATTGCGAATGAGTTTTCCAACGATGTGATTGCCAATTTTATGGCTCGTTTAACTTGCAAAGCGAACTTGAAAAGACGCAGCGTACCCGTATTATCAAAACCAAACGGTTTGTCGTATCCATCATTTCCCAACGACTTGCCAACGCTCGATTATGTCGCTGAAGGACTGATATAACCATATCTGTGACTCTGGTATTTTCATTTCCATAAAATCTCCGCTATATAGATTTGGCTGCCCACAGTTTTACGTTTAAACACAACGAATCTACTTTTACCCCTAATTTTTTGCGTCCAAAATTACTTTAAAAATTACGACAGCAAATCATGTCATTACGCTTGAAATTCTGTTTTATCGTACTTATTAAACTTTCTCTACAAACCAGAGACCAAACGAACGTGAAAGTAAATCCATATTGTAAAATTGTAATATAGTTATTAATAAATCAAGGTTTTCAAACGAGCAATAGTTTTTGTAATATTTTAGTTCCTAAAAATAATTTTATTTATTTAGTGATTATGTGCTCGAATAAACTGTCGAGCTTATCGAGCCTGTTGAGTAGTTAATTGCTTATCGATAACGCACGTAAGAACGACTCCTTAAAAGTGGATCGATCTTTTAGTCGTTTGTAAAAGGCAATGCCCGAAGGCGATAGACTTACCCGTTCCTGAACCTGTCTGCATCTGAGTTCCACGGTGCCCACCATCCGAGACAAATGCCGATCGATATGTTCTGTTAATAAAGTGGATCCACGCGACCACGGAAAAGGATTTCTGCGCGAATAACTTCATAACCGCCGGTCGTAAGCATTACACGTCGACGGACTTACACATGTACATTCCTGTCGGTTGTTCGCTTTGCCGCGAAGAAATTCATTATCCCGTGGAAATTATGATATTGGAAGAATTTGAAGTATCAGAAACCGAGGTCGATTCGCGTTTAGTTAAGAGACTCCGTGAATCGAACGGATGCGTAATATGTATAAAGATCGAACCGAGCTCGAGCGAGCATCGATCGTTCGATCTCCTTCGTTACACCCCGTCCGATGATGCTGCCGGTTACTAAAGGTTCTCAGAAATTCTTTCCAGTCATCGGGAGGAATTCTACCAAATTTCAGAGCGGATGCACGATGATTAATAAGTTTTTACGCGCATTACACTTGGCTGCGCGACGAATCGATTCCTCTCTTGTTCCTCCTTACGCTAGAACGACTTCCTTTATCGTCGTTTTACAAACCGTTTCTCCGTTCTCGTTCGACGCTCGATTCCTCGTTATTTTCTAAATTTTGCTTCATTTTCTATTCACGTCGGCCTCTATGTTGCGCATAGGAACGTACATTTCGGCTCTGCCGGTGTAAAAGCAAGGGCAGAAAGAAATAATAGCGTGTAGGTGTGTGCGTGTGTTTGTACGAGACGAGGCGGGAAGACGGAAAAGGGATTTCGGTGATGTCGTGAAGTGGGAGGTGGACGCAGCGAGGAATAAAAAGAAGGGGACACGTTAAACGTGGAACCAGGGGTCATAAAAATCCGAAGCGCAGGTATAAACCAACGATCTACAAGTCCGTGGCGAGGACGATCCTAATCTCTAGCTCGCTGGTGGAATAGCGGGAGTTGAAGCTCTACAACGGAAAGCTAAAAAGAGGCACTAGAAGAAAATAGTTGGGCCGCTAAACTGCCGCAGCGCGAGTTTGGTAGAAAATCAGCGGAATGCAGACTCAAAGGTTGAGAGGAGGGCGAAGGAATTTTCAGGACACGAGACCTACGCTACCTAAATTTTTGGTCTTCTTTTAATAGGTCGGTTCGAGGTACTCGTGAAATTTTTACGATTCTAACGACGACTAATTTTATTCCCCCAAAATATGCTGTCCCCTAACTTCGCTCCGTAATTAGTTCGTCCTGGTTCCCGCAATAGGGAGCTTCTACGGTTCCATCGCTGCCATTTTTGGTAATCCGTTGAACGTAGCGGCAAGATTCTCATGGCCGGTTGATTCATGCTTTACACCGATATTTTTATTTGGTCACCGCTGTCAAAAGATATATTCGTCGTGGGGAAGTGACAGTAAAAACAGGCTGGAAACGTTGATATCCGTCGTATGCGTCTTAGAAGGTAATTAATAGAGGAGGGTTCGGTATGGCTCGTTCGCTTGGTCATAAATTTAGTGGAAGGTCGAGAGTGAACGACGCATAAATTTCACGTGGACGCGATAAACGCGTGCTCGTACACACGCGCGTACGATTTCGCGAATCGAACGGCGCGTTCGAGCTAATGGTTTCCTAATTGAATAAATGTGCGCGATTAGTCGCGTTGCCTCCGAGAGACGGTTAACGAGCTACCGTCTAAATAACCGTTCGGCTTGCTACAAATCGAATTTAGAGTTAATCGGTATTTAATTTAAATACGCTCCTCGCGCACTAACAGACTTATCTTTCTCATCAGTCGTGCGACGATCGGATCTATCTTCGCATTAATTCAGAATTTTCGTCAATCTCGGCCTGATCTTAAATACAGTCTAAAGTGCCAGAGGTTACTGACTGTCGCGACGGTATCGATGACATTAGTACGCGTCTGTATCGAACAAGAGTTTTATTTTCTTTTTTTGCACACAGATCAGCGCGCGCTGTCTCGATGTAACAAACAATACGTTCGCGTGTCCGGGAAAATTAGAGGAAAGGTTTCGGTGAAAACAATGGACAGGCGACGAAGTAGTATAGTTGCCGGATCGTGCACGCGCACCACGTACTCGTGGACTTATTTCTTCTTACATTTGGCTTTTTTCGACACCACCGCTGCGTTCGACGGTGACTTTGGGTTTGATTGATTCTTGTGCTTTTTACTCTCAACGTGCTGTGCAAACGTACTCTCAGAATTCAAGGAGAGATTACACGGCGCGCAATAGTATTGACCTGAAATCAAAACAGTTCGTTAAGAATACGCGAACAACACCACCGGTCGCATTCTTCTCGAAGGATGTCCTTACCCGATGGTGTTCGGCAAATAGAATAATCTATAGGTCCAGGCGCGACAGGGGTGCACTCATTTTCGTTGGCTAAGAAATGTCTGCGATAAACATGATTTCTTTCTATAGACACTCGTTGACATCACGCGCGATACTTACCAGATTCAGGAACAGGTAACCCGTTCAACTTAAGCATCCTCAGGTGCCTAGCGCCACGTTTGTGCGTTTCCAATTGGTCCTGCCGATTAGCCGATACTCCACACAAATCGCAACGCAACGGCGTCGGATGTGGTGGCGGTGTGTAAACGGGTCCTGTTCCTGGCGCCGGTATCGACGCGGTGCTACCTTCGGATGCGACTGGTTGCGTTGGTGCGGCGGAAGGTACCTCCGCCTGAAAGGCTGCTCCTATCCTGAACCGTCCGGTTGGATCTATTTGATTGTACTGACTCTGACTTTGCGACGACTTCTTCGACGGCCTGTAGAATTCAACGCTCTGGTACGACGAACTTGACGACACGGCTATCTTTCTAAGAATAAATAGAGACACGTATAGGCATCTATGTACCTCGATTGATGTCCGCCGTTTGCCGCCCTAACATGCTTTTTACCAGCGTAGTGTTGCGTCGCATCCGTTTGCGACGTGAACCACGTCTTGCAAATCTGTAACACGAACATACCTTTGAATACTTTTCACTGCGACGCGATCGAATGCTCGTTTCCCCGACTACTTACGTCGCAATAGTTTTGCCAATCGTTGGTCGTGCTACTGACTTGGCCATCCTCGGTCTTTAGTTTCTTCACGCTCTGATTCAGAAACATGGACACTTTCTTTTGATGCGGCTTTCCGTCGTAATGTAACTTCGCTTGCAACGTGGAGTTCATCTAAAAATCATAACTCTTAACCGTCGATGGAAATTCAACAGTTCGCGTGTATTTTTATCGGATAAAGTAATCGAGACTCACAACTGCATTGCACAGATCGCATTTCAGCGGTTTCATTAGCGCTGACAGTTCCCTCTGGGCGCTCGCGACTTTCTCTGCGAAATAGAAAACATAAATCAATCTTTAATTAGCTGAACTGCCATAGGAATCTGGATTCCGATTTCTCAATGATAATTCGATGCACTCCGCAAGGCAATGAAGCACGTTCCGAGTATTTCTCGCGCTGGAGCGCACTTAAATACAAACGTTCTCTAATTACCTGCATCTTGCGCGGGATCGATGAACTCGTTCTTGCGTTTGTGATGCTTGTTCTTGGGTTTGTTGGAGATTTGGATCGGCGGCGATGCGACCGCCGCAGCTGCTGCCTTGTAGGTCGTGTCGTACCATCGTGCATAGAGGTCCGACGTGTCTGCGTCCGTAGGTACCCACCAGGGTGTAGCTGGTTGTCCAGGAGTTTGTGGTTGCATCGCCGGATGCATTATATACGGTGTTGGCACGGGAAGGTTTGGAAACGATGTCGGTGCTTGAACCGTCGTTAGATTAATCGTGGTTACGTTGGTTATAGAACTGGTTGTCGTTTCCATCGTTATCGGTTCTTGTTGTTGTCGTTGCCGTTGATCCATTGTGCACGGTACCTTGTTGTTTTTCGGCGATGCGGCTGGAAGTGGCGGTGGCGGAGGAGGCGGCAGAAAACATTCGAGTCCTGCATTACATAGGATCATTCTAAGAACTGGGACGGGACGTAAATATTTTTTTAAGGAAAGATAGAGAATCAATCAATTCGTTTTTCCGTCGATGATATAATGCACCTGCGAAGCGCAGTTGGAAATCTTGGATAAACTTTCGAAAAGGACATATCTCCGATATTTTTTATACTCTGAATTTTTATGTATTTTGACCTGCTGATTACGAGTATGATAGTGAAAATTGGCGCAAATTTTATTTTCATAGCAAAAACCATGAAAAAACCATAAAAAGTCATAGTTTTATTTACTTCCGTAAATAATGGGAATTTTGAAAAATAATTTAGATAAAAGTTGTAGACCACATAAAAATACACATTTTATGTCCTATTGATTTTGGTCATAAAGACAATAGTTTTTGAGAAAAACGATATTAAATGTTCATAAACTTTGTGGCGCTGTTTCACTGTGGGTAGGAACTCGAGAAAGATCGTAAGAGGGCAGAAAAGGATTTAGGGAGAGGCGAGCATTTCGTCCCGAGCCTACTAGTGGACTAATCAGTAAGGCTTTCTAGCAGGACCTGCCTTAAACGACTGGATATTGGGAAATCGGTCAAGGATTGTATACAAGGTGTTCGGCCACCCCTGGGAAAAATTTTAATGGGAGATTTTAGAGGCCAAAATAAGACAAAAATCAAGAATATCAATTTCTTGATTGAGGCTTCGTCAAAAAGTTATTACAAAATTAAATTAAAAAGTTTCAAATTATTCTGGAAAAAATATTTTGGGTTGCACGGGTCGATTACAATCATTTTTGGTGAATAGACATACCCCCGAAATCCTACTCACTTTCGAGAAAAAAATTCGGGTATGTGCTGAAATTTTTCGGCAAAAAATAAATTTTTCAAATCGTTCTGAACAAATAATTTTCGGTTGCGGGGCTCAATTTCAATCATTTTTTATGAATACACATAACTCGGAGATCCTTCGCACTTTCGAGAAAAAATTCGCCTGTGTTTGCAGATTGACGTTCTACAGGCGAAACTTTAAACATTAATAACTTTTTAACGAAGCCTCGATCAACAAATTGGTATTCTTGATTTTCGTCTTATTTTGGCCTCTAGAATCTCCCATTATAATTTTTCCCAAGGGTGGCCGAACACCCTGTATAATAGCAACGGAAGGGTCAGTTGAGCGCTTGTGAGAACGCGTCCCCTCTAGTGGCGAGCATGGCAAGTGACGCCACAACTTCATATAACTCATCCAACACAAACCATGTTTTATTGTTAATTTCATTAGTTAATACTAGAAAGGGACACAGCAAAGCTCCTCCCTCGCCCACGTGTTTTCTGTATCATAGGATTTTTAACTTTCCACGCGTAGCGAGGTCCACCCTCTGCGGGAAACTTCATCCCTAAAAGGAATAACCCAGACCTAACCTAAACCTAAACTTAAACATTAAATTAAACGACTGTTCGTTATAGAAGAAATAAAACAACCTCATATAAACTAAAAAATAAACCTGTTTGTTCTAAAAACCGAAAACAAAGCGGATAAAACAATCATGACAACTAAAAAATAGCTCCCAATAAAAAAAAACAAAATAAAGTAAAATTACCGCACAAAAACTAAAAAATAAAGGTATTGGTTTCAAAAAATACAAAATTTTGAGCTCTTCACAGACAAATGAATAATAAATTCAAAATGTCCCAGGATAAACGGTTTTAATATCCATGATTAATTGTTCAAAAGGATCACGTTTTAACTTTTTCACACGACGCCGCCATAATAACTCTGAAAGATCATTTTTCTCAGAAAGTATTATCTTTATGACAAAAATCAATACAATATAAAATGTGTATTTTGATGAGGTCTACAACTTTTATCTGAAGTATTTTTCAAAATTCCCATTATTTACGAAAGTAAATAAAAAAACTATGAATTTTATGGGTTTTTCAGGGTTTCCGGCATGAAAATAAAATTTGTGCCAATTTTCACTATCATACTCGCAATCAGCACGTCAAAATACGTAAGAATCCTAAGTATAAAAATAATCGGAGGTATGTTCTTTTCGAAAGTACACCCGAAATCATTAACGTGCATCGATTGTTTCTGTCATAAAGTTTATAAAACTATTACGATAAGAACGTCGAAAGATAAATGCTTTACGAGACGTCTGCGAGCGCGAACCGTAGCCAACATTTTCTATCAATTTCTTCTATCTATGCTCGCGAAAGATTTATAGTCTGTCAAAGAACGATCGCAAAGATCGTAAAGATTTCTCGCGGCCATTTGCGGCATCTGCGACATAAAAGCTTTGTGATATTTTTGTTGAATACGTTTTAAAAATGAGTAACAACAATAATCATAATACTAGGACCGAAACTCGAGGAATATTTTGGATGCGATACGAAACGAATGAATGGCAAACGTTTGCGTTACAAGTTAGATTTATGGTGGCGATAAAAGGTCAGGACAGTTTAAGCACATTCAAGCTATGCATGGAAATGCGCGGGATAAAATATCGAAAGCGCGAAGCAATAAAGTATAAACATAAATATATTGGGCAAGACGAGATGCATATCGATGCAATTTGCTTCGGGTTTCGATTTAATTGCGCGTAATACTAATACTGATTTCGCTAATTTCGCACAAGCCTGCCGATATAAAGCCGGTAATGCCACCCATTTTTATTGGTAACGTGCAAGATACATTTTCCGAACAGCCGTGGATGGCAGCACGCACATTACGCTTATCGTTAGCGATGGGGTCAAGTTCGGTATGCATTCTATTACATTGATATTGTTTCCTCGAGTTCTCGTGTGGCAGCCAAACTTATTCCGTTAGAGTTCGACTGTATGTAGAAGTACTGATACTGCTTTTTAAGGTACTCGTATACAATTCTAATACAGGGTGTTCGGCCAGCCTTGAGCAAAATTTTAATGAGCAATTCTAGAGGCCAAAATAAGACGAAAATCAACAATACCAATTTGTTGATTGAGGCTTCGTTAAAAAGTTATTAACAAAATTATTAATAAAATTTGTCCACCTACACGAATTTTTTTCTCACAAGTGCGTAGCATTTTGGAGGTATGTCTATTTACCAAACATGCTTGTAATTGACCCCTGCAACTAAAAATAATTTTTCCAAGACGATTTGAAATTCTTTTTTTTCACCCAAAATTTTCAGCACTTACTCGAATTTTTGTCTCGAAAGTGGGTAGGGTAGAATTTCGAGGGTATGTCTATTCACCAAAAATGATTGTAATTGACCCACACAACTGAAAATAATTTTTTCAGAATGATTTGAAATTTTTTAATTTTGGCGAAAAAATTTCTGGTCGGTATGGAACTTTAAACGTTAATAAGTTTTTAAGGAAGCCTCAATCAAAAAATTGGTGTTTCTTGATTTTCGTCTTATTTTAGCCTCTAGAATCGCTCATTAAAATTTTTCCCAAGGGTGGCCGAACATCCTGTATGTCCCATCAAGTTTCGATACCATTCGCGATACGTTTAATCCCATTACTACTTATCGACTATCTACACGCTGTCTACGCTCTGCACTTCAGGACCGAACAAGCTGCTTCAGCACCCGTGATCGAGATCGAAGAAAAACATATCTCAAGAACTAGACGAAAGAATTGGTATTTACACGAGTTGAGTAAAATGAAAAGTAATAATAATCGATATGATCCTCACATCATTGTAACAAGAGTGAATACGTTGTGCTTGTTTGTTTATTACGTGTTGCTGAACATGCATCATAGACATCGAGTCAATGGAATATATAATTCGTTTTTATGACAGCAATTATTTTATTAGAATTCTTTATTAAGTGTTGTCATGTTCGTGACTGGAAAACGTATGACGCAGACGATCCGAGTGGACACTGTATTTGTATCAGTATATACGCGACTGTTATTTTTATATTTTAAGATGTCAGCTGATTTCAACGGTCAAGTATTCAATGAAATTTAACAGAAAGCATAAGGGTATTCAACAAATGACTTATCTTTTCGTTTCATGTGTCTGACGTAGGTCGTGATAGGTTCATTCTTCGAGTAATTGTTTCGATAATTAGTGATGTAGATATGTTGTAACTCGCATCCGGCTATTTGTGATGGAATCCATTGCCAATACAAACATTGAATGTTTTTGGTTTCGCAGCAGTATAGTTTCGTTCGTAAACTTACCTTTTCGCAATCATTTCGATAACAAAGTCACAAAAATAATATATTTGTCTAATGATCGATGTACGCGAATATTTACAAGTTCGTGTATTCTTCGATAACAGAGATTCACTAGGGCACACGTCCCTAACAACGTGAATCAAAGAAGAATGTTTCCTAAGAAGAGAGAAACTTACCTGGTATTTCTGGATTTTCGATGATCTTCGTGCTGGACATTTTGCGGTGTAAATATTGCAATATTCTCTATTATTGTTAGAGAAAAACTTGACAGCGAGCAATAATTCCAGCGCGATAAAGAAATTTGTTTTCGAGTCCTTTACACACGCGAATTAGTTTTGCCCTCGTCGTTTTGCACTTCGCACGTTTCGTTGGAACACGATATCATTACCATTCATGTATTACGCTTGACTGTCAATTATTCTTCGAAATAGAAAAATTTGTGAGGTTAATAGGCGAGTTTGACAAGCGACCCGACGACATTACGCGATATTGACCTGTGTGATGCAAGATGGCCGCTAACACTACGTTCGTCGATCGTGAACTATCAAAAATTATTCGAATTGCCACAGAAGAAACGATTTTTCATGGCCAAGTTTTTGAGTATCGTTTGATTGAGAAGGATGGAGGAGAAGACTGAGCTCTTAAAATGTCTCGAGGAAAAAATTTACAGTGGCAAAGCCACGGTACATCGCCTGAAACCTGCAGGAACGGTCGATGGGGTTGAAAAGCTTATACGAAAGATACAACAAGAGATTAGATTTTTAGAAAAGGTACGTCTTATCGAGATTATTGTGAAAACTGTAAGTCTCGTATAGATGTCTTTTTTTGCAACGTTAAATCATTGATAGATGATGTATATAGCTATAGGTTGTGATACTGCCTATCTGATCTTATTATTTTGTACTGTACACATCAGTATAGACAACTATTAAATTGTTATGTATATTTGGATTAATAGTACCAGAATTATAACCTTACGCTATTCTCATAAAGGTACAATCTACAGGAAATGTGAAAAAAGAACATCTACAGAGCACAAATCTGATTCATCTGAACGCGATCGTGGCACGATTATTTTGTGCAGATGAACCCATCAATGTTATGAAACCCTTCAAATACCAGAAATCACGGTTGGAAGTAGATATAGTTTGCAACGGTGGTGCATCTTGGATAAAAGTTATTGCTAGAAATGCCAGAGCACTTACTTTAATTTCGTTGGGCAATGGTGAATATGGACAGAAATCGGTGCTCGATCAAGCAACAAGTTATTTGCAATGTGCCAAATGTTATCCATACCTTTATAGACCTCCAGATGTTATATTTCATTTTGCTTATGGCATAGAAATACCATTAGCCACGCAACTGGAACGCATGGGAGTAATTATCGAAGGAGATAGAATAGAATGCGAAGATGGAAAGAGCATGGACATACATGGTATAAATGTTTTTCTAATATGATAAATGTATGATCATGTATTGTATTACAAACAAAAGGAAAATATTCATTGCTGTCTATTGTTTTGGATATAGATACAGATGACAAATTCTTCACATGGATGTATACATTAGAATCCATGGATGAACATTCGGACAAATGCAAAGAGAATCTACATTCAGATTTAGAAACCTTAAATACATTTTCTCTTGCAACTGAAATAAATATTCTTAATCTAGATGTGTCAACTTTATTGGCTTATGTAACAAACATGACTAATGGATATGATTATTTTATTTATCGAGAACCATTGCTCACGCAACAAGCAGAAATGGAGAGGAAACGTCCAGTGAAACCAATACTAGATAAATTATTTAAAGATAAAGAACTTATTGTCTGCCAAACTGCTTATGAAAATTTCATGAACATTGTAAATGTGATTGGTGGATCCAAAGAAACTCTTAGAGCAAAAGAGCTATTGAACAGAGTTCAGATTGTTAACGATCTACCTACAGGCAGAATTATAGAGAAACTAAATTTGGGTGGTAAAATTAAAGATAGATCTCGACTAGTTTTTGCAACAGGTGAAAATAAGAAAAGCATTACTGTATCTGCAAACGAAGGATTTGTTAGGGCAGCACGTATGCAGGTATAGGCATTTTTTATTCTAAAGTTTAGAAAATTTAAATAATATCAGTAATCATTTTTTTCAGGGCATTGAGTGCACAGTTTTTCTGCATGAACCTAGATCTCTTTCAGAGATTAAAGAGGGTTATGCAGCAAAAATAAATTCATCTTGATATTGGTTGAATGCATTTTAGATTATTGCCAAAAAATATACACAGTACATGAGAAATATTTCTATTGTTTACTGTTAAATGTAATACATAAAGCATATAGAAATTATTTTATATTGGTTCGGGCCTGGTACTCAATTTTATATCTATATTTTCCTCGAATTCTGTAAAATAAAGATTTATTAAAATTAAATTATAATAGAAATGTTTCAAATGTTAAAACCTAAGTATACCATCAATAAATTTGTTCAAGTGTGGATTTCTTTCTCTTGCTAATTGAATATATTCTTTATATTTGATTTCGTTTCGAAGTTGTTTATAACATTTAGCACTATTTAAAAGGGCTTTGATATTTGCGTTGTTTATTTTTAATGCCCACTCACAGTCGGCTAAGGCTTTTTCAAATAATCCAAGGTGAATATAGGACAAGGCTCTATTAATCCACAAGACAGACGAATCTTTTCGTTGCTCTATTGCTTTAGCATAATAAGTAACAGCTTTTTCATAATTTTCCTCTTTAAATGCCCCATTCCCAATTCTTTTCAGTGTTTCTGCTCGTTCATTTCTAATTTTACGATTGTCCGCTCTTTCTTTTGCATCTTTCTCTATACTTTTCATAAATGCTTCTAGATGAACACATTGTCGTTTAATTTGTGAACAAAAAAAATCATAACATTTACATACCTTGTGACATTTGCTCGTTACTATTCCTTTCGTCTGTGGAATATTTGTTAATCACCGTGCGATTAGTTTTTACTTTCAGTTCACAATCTTCGGAAATAATTGTTTCAGATTTCTTTCCTAAAATTTCGTCTGCTAATATTTGACCATGCTTTTGTTCCTCAAGATTAGACGATGCTAATTTCTTCACAATTTTTTCTTAAATGTTTCGATACGCTTAACATTATGTTTATAATCGCTTAGAGTAGTGAATCATAAACGGTGTTCCGCGGAATTGTAAAAACGACGTTCTAGGTAGGAAATTACATTTGAACGAACTTTAGCGTAACTGTGCAATGTGCAGTTTATAACGTAGACAAGATGTAACTGGCATTTTCAAGTGAAGTATCTAACGTTTAGCCCTTGTTATTCTACACATTTTTTTTTATAATCAAAAGTGTTTTGTGACTTTGAAAAGGTTAAGAACTATTGACTTAGAATAGTACATACTTACCAACTTCGGTAACGCGATGCATAAAGTTTTGAAATTCTTCTTCCGTCACTTGCTTATCGATGGTTAAATCGTCTATTATTTTTTGTGCTTCTATTACTTTGTCGCGCATTTGATCGTTTTCTGATTTCTTATTCATATTTCTTACAACTTTTAATACAAATAGAAGAATCTATCCAAATACTTTTGAGACTGTTTAACTACTCTAGGTTTCCATAGTAACATATACAGTATTACAAATTGTGCGTGTAGTAAAGTATCTACGTATACAGTTACTCCTAATGAAGTAGCAATTTATTTGTTGTTTGGGATAGACAGTATAAAATATTTAGGTTAAATTAATTTATTGCAAAAATGAATAAGGACATGTAACAAAGTAAGAAATAAGGTAATGAATTATGGTTAATGTGTACATGTTTACATTTTTGGAAAGTTTTTTTAGTTAAAGAAAAATTTACAATCACAAAAACAGTTTTATTCAGTCTAAATATTATCTTTAATGTAGCAGGTAGTAATTGTTTTAGCTTTCAAAACATTATTTTATTTCTATTAACCATTGGATCCTTTTCTCGGTGGAAATTCTGAAAGCGTCCCTGTATTAAATGTTTGATCAACATTTGTATAAGAATACCTTTGAGATGAACCTCTAATGTTTTCCGTACACTCGTTTTCAATCTCTTCTACTTCAAGGGGATCCATATCTTCGTCTTCTTCCATGTCAGTCGTTATGTCTATTTCGTCTTTTATGTACACAGCACATTTCATACTTTCATTGTTTTCCAAATTAATGGTTTGTTTCCTTCTGTCCAAAGGTTCGTTTTGCAAATTGTCTTGTATAACTATAGGTGCCTTTCCAGCAGTAATTTCTACTTCATCCATAATACATAACTTTTTCAAATGCAATGGCTTATCCTTTGATATAGCTGATAAAATGCGGGGCCAACTAATAACAGGATCAGAAGGTTCTTTTCTTTTTTGAGGCGGTGGGTTAGAAATTCCCCTACTGGTGCTCGGCATATCATTGATGTCTACAATACTGATTCCTGATCTACCAGCCTCCAGACGTTGACTTAATAAATTAATATTACCTTCATCACATTTCTTAATACTCTCCTGCGAATGCTTGGTTGCTCCTTTCTGAAGATGAGTAGATGAAATAAACCTCGACGTCGAACAGGATGTTTTATTTTGTGGCCTGATATTGGATTCGTGATCAGATACAGTTTTCGAAGGCAAACTTTTTGGCTCTTCGTTTTTCAAACGAGATACCGTGGTCGTTTTTCTAGATGTTTCGGGAGAAGCATTGTTGGTTTCCCCCATCAGAACCGAAGTTTGTATGTGTCTCAGTCCAGTAACTTCCAAAATTTCGGCGAGTTTCAACAATCGCCTAACCTCACTTTGGACCACTTGTATTTCACCACAGTACATAAAGTTGACGATTGTCTTAAGGTCGTCTGCCTCGATGTCGTGGAGAATAATCATAGGATGAGGATGATCATTGGCGACGAGTAATCGCCGGAAAAATGAGCTCGAGTTGGCCAATACCATTTTGTGACATTTCAAAATTGTCCCATCCTTACACACCAGAGATAAATCTACAAACTGTTGCTTCTCGTAGCACGTATCGAGGGAAACTGTCAAATGTGTTGGGAAGCTGTGCCATTTCAAACTTAGCACCGTTTCTTCGCTCATTTTGGTTATTGTAATTGATAAGCTGTGTTGGGTTTTATGCAAACGCTTCACGGTACGCGACTTTCGTTTACGACAACGCTATTCGCCATGACACGTGCTGCTGTCATCGCAACTACGTTTCAAGGACTTGTAACATGCTTAGCTACGCGTTTAGTTACGATACTTCTATTTATGAATTGAAAACAATTTAATCCCGGAATATGTAATTGATAGGTTAAAACTTGCAGAATGTGTTCCGCACAATATCGGTATGTAAAGTTCAACGAATCCGTGTACTTTTCGAGAAAAGTTGCATGGTAGAGTGGGGGTTCTACTTTTTAAAAATACTCTGTATAGTAATCGATTTCCGCCAGACAGATGCCAGCGTTATCTAGGAGCATACAAACAAACTATTGGCACGGATACCTGGTCCAAAAATAAAACAGTGAGGAAATTTGTAACGATTACTGAAATGTTCATTAAAACACTTTTTCTCCATAATTATGTGTGTTAAATAAAAAAATGACTCACATAGAAAATGTAGTCTCTTAACTTTGTTGCGTTTAAATCAAATTGTCCAAGGAGAATGAAAATTTATTTTCCTTTGCTAACAAGGAAGATAATCAAAGGGAAATTTTTGCGTAGTTTCGTAAAATTAGTAACTTTCGCAACTTTACAAATAAAAAGGGAGTTTAACTGGAAAGAAGTGCACATATTGTACGCGTGTCGTATTTAAATTTTAAGCATCGCGCCTGTTGGCGGCGCAGGCGCGTTCCCGCGAAGCGATGGATTTCGAGATATCTCGAAACATCGAGTCGCGTGCGACGATTCGTGGACTGCCAATTGGCTTCGATAACAGCAAATGGTCGTTTAATAACAGATGATTGAACGCGTTCCGCGGCGCGGCCTAGCATTTATCTGTCAAAAGTGGTGACGGCCGGCCGATCGGCGATGAGCCGGCTCACGCGCGCCTGTTGATCCTCCTTACGAATCGATTGCAGGTTATCGACACGGATACGCTATTGATGAGAGCCGCGTGTGCAAGTCTGTTGTGTTCAACGTTACGTTTTTTCGAGCGGCATAAACCAACCCACCGATCGCGAGACCGAGTGCACCATCAAGCAAACGTTTAATTCCTTTATTATGTGATCGTGAACCGTGATCGAACGGTAGCACAGAGAAGGCAGGCAGGCAGGAAGGAAGGAATGAACGAAAGAAGTAAAATGCGATACGTTCGAGTCAATGTTTTCTGCTATATCATCGTGGCGGTTCTTTTTCTAGCGCCATTCAGTTACGCAGGTAAGCACAACGGATTCTGTAGAAATGATTATCGGCGTTGTTTGGCAGTAAATTGTATCTTCCTTGTGTACTGTGCGAGACCGAAATTGCTTCGTTCGACCGAACCATTTGGGGTCACCCTTGCTAAGGCCATAATAGTCTTCTTCCGCTTTTTCTCCTCCCCCCAACCCCTCGCCGCTCTTTCGGTCTCTTTCCTTCCTTTTACTCGCGCTTTCTCGTATTCTCTCGCTCCGACTCTTCTCCTCTTGGTCTTCTTTCGGTCCAGAAATTGAGTCCCCTCCGATGTTGTGTTTCTCCGTATTGCGTCGTTGATACGTTACAAGTTATACATTCGCGTGTCGTGTGTTCGATTTTTTCGTCTATCAGCTACTGTCGTACACGGTGCCTCGAGGAAAGATTAGTCACTAATATGTCAGGTACGCTCATTACTAAGTGATCAATTCGTTTGATCAGGTTTATTTAGAGACGTGTACGTACTTCCTCGTTTCCTGAGGACGGCGTAATTAACGCGATATTTCCCAGTACAGTCGTGCGTCCGGGAGTTCTTGATAATGTCAGATTTTTTTCTTCTTCTATTATTTTACTTTATATCGTGTATCCCAAAATATTCGGTGTATGTCGAAAACAGGCGATACTTCTTCGAAATATAAATGGAAATTGCAGAAAACACGTGGGTTCCGTGCGCATTCGATCGACTAATTTGCAAGGTCCGATTTCATTATAGCATTGTTTGTAATTATTCGTACGGTAAGGTATGCTTATTTAGATAAATTTTGAAGAATGAGTGTAAGATAAACGACTGTTTATTCATTTTTCGTTAAATAAAAATAAAAATTTCAATCATAGAGTAGAATATTTTATAACGAATAAGTAAAAAGAATTGAAAACTAATCAAAATAAGAATTTCGTATCTGATTTTTTTATTATTTAGTCATTTTTTTTTTATCGAATAAGGTATTTAATAATAATATTACTGTACTTGATCGTAAACTAATATTCCAATTAATTTTCATTGGCCAATTGAAAACTGAAGTGTTGACTCGAATAGATTACCATTTGTTTATTTGTTCTGCTTTAATCGTCCAAGTATTTTTGTAATTAATAACTTCATTTCTGGGAAACGAATGCTCTAACGGTTTTACATAATTATAAAATAATGCAAAACTTGTTCAAAGTTTGTTCGGAGGTTGGTGATTCCTTTTAGCATGAATTTTGATTATTAATCTTTTAACAATTTAGTATACTATTTTTTCTATTGTATAAGAACTATGTATTTATTAAATTGTAGGTAATAAAGGACATAAAAATAATTGTGGAACGTTGTAGTCAATTCATAATAACAATGTTGATCTTATTTTGTTACTTTTGACGAACTTGTAACTCAACTTTTGGTTAAAATTCTAGTGACGACAAGTTATAAAAACGAATAAATACGTTCTGTATCAAAAATATAATTCTGACGTGTCTCGATATACATACAGAATCATTCAGATAATTATAAACGAGAATATTCTTGTCTACAATGTTTACAATTAGTTACATAATAATCTTATATCTTATTATCGTGTATTTTGTTACAACATGGTACTTTCACGCGATGATTTATGCAAATCTATAACACATGACTCTTCCAACAAACTGTTGCATTCGTTATAACGTAGACCAGTGTTTACCAGAGCGAGAGGAGGGTCGATTTGTAGAGGGTGCGTCTTACAATTGAGAAGAGTTAGTTCGAAAGATTGTAGAAAAATGCGGATAACTTAAACGTCTTTTTTTATTGATACATTAATTGTTGAAGCTTAATGATTACAAGAGTATATTTTTCTTGTAATAGTGGGTCGCCTTTTAACCAGTTTCTTTTTAATTGTTTCTGACGAGTATACTCGTCATGAAAAAAGTGCAAAATTTTGTGTTATGACGAATATATTCGTCATGAGTAATAAGTAGTAACAATTTGCAGTTTAAATTGCAATTTTAGTGAAAACTAAAATATATTCGTAAACTTCATGATACTTGAAATATTTTGAGTCGAAATAAAAGGAACAAATGAAAGTTTATAAATAATTAATATAAAAAAACCGCATATAGTATGAATTATTTTTCGTAAATGTATCGTTGTCTTTTATTAGTCATTGCAGAAGCAAGTATGGATTCATATATTGTTTTAGACTGTGCAATAAGTGGCGCGGCTAATTTCATATTACACATACTCTGTGTTTGACGAGTATACTCGTCATCGCTAAATTTGTGCGACGCAATTTAGATACGCATTTTCCAAAGAGGTCGAAACAGTTAACCAGTTAAAAAATTTAAAAACCATTGTCGTAGGCCGTTTCAAAACCTAGATAACATAGAAAATGATGAATTTACATAAGACGAGACAGTGGAAACATTTGTAGTATTGCCTAATGAGAAAGCGTGTTACTTATCTTTGTAAACGGTCTCCGGTCACGTTCAATTTTTGTAGTCATCGCTCCGACAAGGACAATCAACATTTTGCTCATAATAAGTAAGATGAGTCAACCCGATAACAAAGTCCACGTAGCAGTAATGTTTAGTACGTCGTCGAGTGATTCAGTGGTGTTGCTTTGTTTTTTTTCTTTTCTTACTGTATGACAAATAAATACGTATCTATGAGTATACACGTTACATTCCGAAGCTCGACACGTTCGATTGAAAATGCACGCAATTAATTTCCCGAGGGTAATAATTATCGCGTTGGTGATACGCCCGAACGCGTAGCCCGTCGCGTGCAATTGACTTTTCCAACGAATAATTTCCCACGACGATTCCGTTAATTATTGTAACTTTATCTAGCGGAACAGTTTTGTACGGGATACAGTTACTCGCGTATAAATATTCCATTATAGTTTGCGTAGAACGCACTTGCGTAATTTCGTTTTCTAACCGCGTCTGTTTGCGTTCTACCTGGAGTCGAAGATACAGTTATGTAATTTCTTTTTGCTCGATCCGCGCTCGTTTAGCGATTCGAAAGCCGAGCTTTTCGTTTTCTCGAATACAACCCACGGATGAACGTCACAGAACGCGGATGAAAAGACTCATTGTTCGATAGCGCTATCGAATCTGCAACGTTATCGCGTAGAAGTTCATCGGCCCGTATCAACCATTTGAATTAATCGCACGGAACCGAATGGTGAAATCTTAACGCTTCGATTCTTTCATTTTCAAACGATTACAGAGTCCGAAGAAAAAATATCTGCATTTCCACGAATACGAATCGATTTATAAAAATAATTTAACGTTTGAAAAATGATTAAAGATGTTTCTTTGTTTTATTTTTGTTACAAATATGCGCGATGCATATGTAACATTTTATAGAGAGAGTTTCTTTTTTTACGTATAGCCCACCAAGGAAGCGATAAGATATGAAGACACGACGTGACGTATGTGATAATTGCAACGACAAACCTTGCCCCGTCTTTATTACTGACCACTGAAAAGAACCCCCTGTGTAAAGTATCAGTAACACTTGTAAAACTATGTAATTTTCGTTTGACTAAGTCTATTCTAAAGAAAAAACCTCAGTACAGCAAATCTTGAATAAATAACACAATATGGAATTTATTTATTTTTTATTTTTTGTTAATGGGACCTTTACTAATATATTTCTGAGGTTCTTCTGATTAAAATAAGACCAAACACTATATAACTTGAATCATATTTGCGTATTTAATCGTATTTAACACGATCTTATACTTTATTAGAAGTAAATTGCAAATAAATTATATCGTGTTTGGTCTTATTTTAATCGGAAAATTCTCACAAATACGTTGGTAAAAGTTTCATTAAGAAAAAAACAAAAATAAAAAAGTTTCATGTTTGTATTATGTGCTATGTATGGATTGTTACGAGCGCGAGCGCGAGATCCTGGATTCGGTCGAGGGCAGTATGTACTCGACCGGTGCTTTTAGGTATGGTTGGGAGAGACATAGGAGTTCCAGACGAACCAGGGGCTCTATGTATGTATACCCTGGGAGCCGCTAGAAGGAGTGGACGAACCAGGGGCTTTATACCCTGGGAGCCGCGTAGGTTTTTAGGATCTTGCTCTGTCGTAATGGTACGCCTCGAGCGGTAAAGGTGTACCGGGTTCGTGAGATACTCCTAGTCTTACTGTTAATAGGGTTCAGGGTTGTATTAAGTGAATAATGCAAGTGAGGATAACTACTTGAATATATTCTAGTCGATGCTCAAGTACAATGGTCAATTAACAGAACTAGTACTATTGCTACGTTGCCTTGACGGCGAAAATTCTATGTCGGCTTTTACGCCGCGCGTTCGCGGGAGCTACTTCTCGATTAGTCTAATGAACACTCACTAATAAAACGGCTAAGGTAGGTACGTTGCTTAATGGAGATTATAGCCCGATCTGGGCTCGAGTGTCAAAGTAACGTTGTGGCGAGAGTTTTAGAAAAACTGAGCTCCTCGAGTAAGAAAACGCGGCCCTTATATACTAGAAATTGAGCCCTTACAGTGGCGGGGCATTACCATATAAGGTAATGAAAATTGGGCCGGGTGCTCACATATGGCACATGTCAACCCCGTTCGAGGGGTTGTACGCTAGATGATCAGGCCAACGCATAAGCCACCAAACGTTTCGGTTCCATATATGAGTGATATGTAACAGTATTATCCCATCGATATTCGAGCCCAGATCAGATTACATTACACGATGTTGAGCTTCTGATGTGTCAACGGGAGTTCTTCTGAATAATAGGGATGACTACCGTTCACTTATCCAATTGAAAATGGCACGCAGTTATCCAAGCATTGCTATATAGGGTGTTCGGCTACACCTGGGAAAAATTTTGGTAATTATTTACTTTAGCGATAACTCATCAATTTCGATGACCTTGAAATATATTGCCAAGGTCACTGTTATGAAGATTTTTTCTCTATTGTACATATAACCGCCGCTCGGCCTTAGTTTCCGAGATTTTTCTTCAAAAAGATTGCTGCTACTCCAATGAAGTCTGTCTATA